GTGACAGGATGTAATGGCATGTGATACAAAAATATATGAACATTTTAATACATTTGAAAGCTTTATAACGGAGGTATCTTTTAATAATAGACATCTGCAGTTTAAACTTAAAAGTTACTTCTATCAGTCAGTCTTGTCTTCATTTTGTTTCCCAGTGTGTCATGTCCATCCCTGTCGGTCTTTCCTCTGTTCTATTGTCAAGCCTACATGTCCTTGCCTAGGTGTCAGTCTGAGTGCCACTTCCTGCTTTATATTGACACCCCTTGTCTCATGTGCATTTTGTTCAGTTTGCTTCTCCTCTGTCATTATGTTTAATTTATTCCTGCTCTGCTCCCTTGTGTTTTCACTTTCCTTATTACCCATTGTTTATATGCAATATATACAATATACAGATTGTATATATACAATGTCTCAGTGTTCCCTTGTCCCTCGGTGGAGTCCCTGCTCACCTCTCCTCGCGTTTCCCAGATTTTGTGGTTTCCTAGTGTTTTTCCCATTTAGGTTATTGTTGCATTCATTTTTTGTGAAGTGAAGACACCACATCTTTGGCATAACAAAGCTACTATGACAGCATAAAAAATTTACAAATAAAGACAGCCAAGACAAATACAGAGGAGCTGGAGGGGCCAAGCCAAAAACCGACACATCTTGCTTTGCAACTAATAAAGGCAGCCAGATGCCAAGAAAATTGCAGCTTCAACTCCTGAGATTAATACAATGCACAAAGCCCTCCAACATGACAAGATAGTGATTTATAGAGGGGTGTGTGTTTATGGTACCAAGACCTTGATTTCAATTTAAACTCAAATACCAAATACCAATAAGTTTGTATTCATTGCTTTTTTAAAAAAAAATTATTTAAAATATTTTTAATTGTATTTTACTTTTATTGCGATTTGAAAGTTTAATGCTTATATTTTTATGGAATATATTATTATATTTTAATTTGTAAGGGAATCTGTGTGTGAAATTGCCTTACAAAAAGAACTAGTCCACTTCCTTCTATGTCTCATGTGGTGAGTGGGCAGAGTATCTGTTTATAATATGTCCTTGGATGGAGGATTGTGGGGCTAGGTAGAGCAAAGAACAAAGAGCAACATACATCAGCCTGGGTACATCAGGTGGAACTACTGGTAGTAAACTCAGTGTTTAGTTTTATTTAACCTTATTTTTTTATTGTTTTTCATTTTTTAAAATGTTTTTCATAGATTTATTTGCAGTATCTTGCTTTGCTATGTTTACATCTCGTTTCTCATTGTTCTTCTTTAAGCCCATGTGTCTGGATGTTTTAATTCATATAGGAGCCATGGCCTCAGATATTATGGAGGTGGCTGCTCTGGGTCGACCTTTCACTTTAGGGATGCTTTACGATGCCCGGAGAGACAGACTTATCCCAGGTAAGATGTGACTTGTTATTTGTTGTGGTTCAAACTGCCACCAACCCAGATGTTGTTTTTTGTTAGTTTTTTTTGTGTGTTGATTTCAGGAGGGGGTACATTGCATTCACAGTTGTTGATTGAAAAACTGCGATTTAACAAAGTCAACACAGTAAATTACTATAACGAATATGATAAATATGTTCAACAGATTTTATTCATTTTATTCATCAGCACAAAGCAAAAACAAACATAATCACATACATTTAAAGTCATTTTTAAATTACAGTTACTAAAATGCGGTGCAGTCGCTTTACTATTTTTCAACAAACAGACGGTTGAAGCTGTGTTTAGCTTACCGCATCTTATATCAAGTTGCACGGAAGTAGCTGACTACGTAAGTAATCTGGACGCTACAGCTTTAAGCAGCTGCGCGTGCTCCCATGGACGGCAGTCACTTTCTGTCACATTTTGGCACAACCCCCTTGAGCTAGGGGGAAAACAATTGCATGAGTGCTGCTGTTTGACTGAGGAAGAATATAGTAGTCGTGGTAAGCCAATCACATAACCACTTCAAGATGACAAAGCAACAAGGTGATATTTACCAGTTTTTAAATTGTGTTGATAGGCCACGTAAAACCAGAGTCATGATAAACAATTAATACACCTGTTTTTTCCTCAATATTTTCATCACGTTTGCTAAGGACAGCGCTAGCAAGCAGTCTCTGCTTATGATCAAAAAATTTAAAAAACAAAAAAACGCCCGTTCGTGTTGGAGGAAAAATGCACCATGTCGATTATTGGTTGTTTAGGGAAGAAGGGGAAGTTTTAGGAGTGACAGTGTGAGAGAGAGAGAAAGCAGAAAAAGAGAGAGAGAGCAAGTTTTGAGATGTTGAGAGATTTGTGACGTTTAGCGTGTTTGGAGTGTGTAGTTCATGTGTTGTCTTGTGTAATTAGTGTGTAGTGTTGTGGATAGTTTTGTGTTGTGTGTCAGAACAATGAGGTTACTGCTGTCTCCAGGTAGAAAACGGGGTGATACACCTGCTGCTGTCAGACCTGCAGGTAGGACTGGGTGATATATCGAGTTTCTAAATATATCGATATATTTTTATATGAGATATGAGATGTGACAATATCATTTATATCGATATAGACTATGTTACATTATAATTATACTTGCGGAACTGCAAGTTTGCCTCTCTTTTGTCTACTTTTGTCTCTACGCTGCGTTATTCCACCTCGCCTCTCCTTCACTGAACACAACTCCCCCTCCCCCATCGCTTCACCTGCAGGCAACGACAAGATGGACACGGCAGCTATCACAGAGGAGCTGATCGGTAAAAAGAAAACATTTGGAGATTACTATTTTAGTGCTGTCAGCGTGCCATAACTGCATTAACGGGGCAAATCTCTATTAACGAGTTACCGCGATCACCCCGTGCGTGGGGCTGGACGGGGTCAACGTGTTAACGAGCTAACCGGGCTAACGTGTTAACGCTTAAAAATCCTTTCATTTTCTCAAAAATTGACAGTGCGCCTTATGTATGAATTCTGGTTGTGCTTACTGACCGCGAACCGATTTTATGTGGTACACGGCGATCAAAAACCTTTCAAAATTGTTTTGGTACGACTACAAAGCTGCGCCGCTTGATGGATTGTTGGAGCATTACGGCTATCGGGGAGCTTCACGGAGTAATATGTACTCTGCTTCAACGTAATATTACCGTACTGTGTGTGTATAAGGACCACAAATGGCACCTGTTCAGAGACACAGTTACAAAGAGGATTTCAAACTCCAGGCTGTCAGTCACGCAGTAGAGCTTGGGAAATCTGTCTGTCTTTGTTATTATGCTCAGTAGGGATGGGTACCGGTATCCGGTGCAATTATGACACCGGTTCTGATATAAACGGTAGTAACCAGACCGAAAAGCAGCGCACATTTCGGTGCTTTATTTCGGTGCTTTATTTCCTGAGCTGTGATACACTTTAGATTCTAGCCAATCATTTTACGTTTCCGAGGATAGTAGGCGGGCCCAGGTACGTACGTTCTTTTAGAGCAGAGCTACAGATTAAAAATGCCCAAGGTCTGGCTGTACTTCACAGCAAAAGATGCAAACTCAGCAGCCTGCAACAAGTGCTTTAAGCTGATACTGTGCAAAGGAGGTAAAACCTCGAATCTGATGAAACACCTGGCGACGCATACCGTTTTTTTAAAAGCCGAGAAATGTGCCGTATTTGATTGCTTGCTGTGAGACCTCACACCGTGCACATGTACTGCGGGTGTGGTGCCTGTTATCGGTCCCGGAGTTAGCAACATCCCCCAAAAACCCGAAGAGGAGAGTCCTGGCCCCTAGCCCTGCCAGTGTAGCAGAAATGATGACGGATGATGATGGCAGCAGCAGCCGTTCTTCTCTGCGTGAGTAGCTTAATGTTGTTCATGTATAATTTACGTTGAGTAGGCTAACCACGTTATTACATTAATGCATGTAAGGTGAACTAGCAAACACCGTCGTAGTTACATGCGGCTGTCTTCTTCTTTGATGGCAGATACAGATAAAATTGGTGTTTTTCCATTGTTTAAGCACTGCTTCCAGCCAAGAGTGATACCATATATGCCCTATAGCTGCAGAAAAGGCTAACATTGTTACCTTTTTACAAAAAAACAGCTAAACATAAGAGGTTTTTGGACAAAGTGTGTGTTGTCCATTCTTTAAGGACCGGTTCGAGCACCGTTTAAGCACCGGCACCGTTTCAAAAGTACCGGTTTGGTACTGGTATCGGATAAAACCTAAACGATACCCATCCCTAATGCTCAGCCTCTGTTAGTTTACATCTTGACTGCACAATTGTGAGCTTTTTGTTATGCACAAAAACAGCATTGTTTTATTTTATTTATGGAGCATTATTATTTAATAAATGCTGATAATTTATTAATGAGTAATTCTTTCTTGTACATCTACGCTGTATGTTAATAAAAGTGTGTGTGAGATCTGGGACACAGCTTTGACTAAGAACTCTCTTTTTGTTCTTACTTTATGGCTTTAAAAAATATCGAGATATACATCATATATCACCATCCAGCTAAAGAATATCGAGATATGAATTTTGGGTCATGTCGCCCAGTCCTACCTGCAGGTATCAGGCTGTGATGTTCTCCTTTATAGTGGACAGAATTTTTTTTTTTGGAGTGGCACAAATAATTTGTGTGGCATCTTATTGAATGAAGAACACCTGATGGTTATATAAATAGTTTGAAATGGTTATAAAAAAGAGTAACAGGTAAATGGCTGCAAATAACTTGTTGTTTGCAAAACTTGTGCATATGACTTTAAAATTCACAATTTATACTTGCATTTAAGGTTATGAAATATGATTCAATGAACATGTTTGTGGTAGTTACAGTGATATCATTTTTTCTACTTGGATTTTATGTTTTTTGTCTGATTTTAGATCAATTGTGTTAATACAGTGTGGGGATCATATCATTGTATATCATTTTATATCATGTTGATTCTTTTTTATCTTTTTTTATTAAGCTTTGAGCAGTGGCATTTGATTAAACATTTATTCCATTTATTAAACATACAGTTTTGATCATGATATTACACACATTGCATTTGTGCTCAGAGTTAAGCATACAGTCTAATGAAGGTTGAAAGCTTCGTTCAGCGTTATGTCTGAACTGATATATTGGTGAAATGACTTGAATGCTGTGAATGAAGGCCTAACACGCTTACATACACATAAACATGAAGTATAATTTCTAGGGTAAAAGTGAAAGACATCTTGCTTTGTCTCTGCTTGGCAACTAGTGATCCGGGGTCTACAGGAAGCATCTGGAGGAGCCAGACAACCATATAGGGAAAAATGCTGTTAAACACGGAAACTTGTTGAACTGTCATTAATTATAACCTATATATGTGATGTTTTGTCTAACGCGAGAGGGGGCGTTAACCATGACATAATAAAACCATGCTGAAAGTATGTTTTGATGGGAGATCGGTGTTGGCAATCTAAAGCTGTGTATCTTTGCACACATGTGTTTATTAAAATCATTGTTTTGACGCACTTGGACCAGAGGTCGTTTGTCTCTCACCTCAATCACGAATCGGGACAACAGTATGTCAAAATGAAAACATAACTGAAAATTCAGACACGTGAGGTTGTGCTGTAAAGAATGATACCAAAAAAGGCAAAGTAAATACTTTTTAAAGGTGAAAAGAAGAGGGAAAATTAAAAGTAACGCAATAGTTACTTTTCAAGTAATTAATTACTTTTAGAATCTGGTAACTCAGTTGTTACTCAGTCGCTTTTTTGAAGAAGTAACTAGTAACTATAATTAATTACTTTTTCAAAGTAACTTGCCCAACACTGCTCCCTGGTGAATTTGATGTGTTGGTCCACTGAATTAATGAGATCCGTGAATTCCGGTACGTCCTGAGATTTGATTTTCACCCAGGTGTCATCTACATACCTGAATCATTGACTTGGTGGTAGGGATGGGTACCGGTGTCGGTTCTGACATAAACGGTAGTAACCAGACCGAAAAGCAGCGCACATTTCGGTGCTTTATTTCGGTGCTTTTTTT